AAAACACCACCAAAACATCGTCGGAATCCACCTAGCGAGCGGCACGAGAGTACTCTTCTTTATTTTTGGTATTACTATAAGCTATGGAAAAGAAATACACACAAATGCAAGTGAGAGTAGGTTGTCCTCTTTCTTTCTTTATTTCTTAAACTCTCCTCTGATGTGTTATTACAAGAGGAAGGCCATAATTGCATTTGTGATTGGTTGTGAGAACTCAAGAAAAGCACTCCGTAAACTTCCGCGGGGGTAGGGATGGCAATGGATAACCTACCCTATGGGTATCCATGGAGACCCAACCCAAATACATGGATTTTCCCCTCTTTTTCTTATCCATTGGGTAAGGTAAGTGATATTCTTTAAATATCCACAGGGGATGGGTTGGGGATGAGTACCCATTAATTTCCCCATGTTTTTTTTTTTTTTTTTTTTTAAATTCCCAAATAAAACTAAATATACATTCAATGAGGGGGGGGGGGGGGGGGGGGGTTGGTGTGTTTGGTAAGTTGAGTTTTAGTCTTTTTTTAGTTAAAATTTACAAAAATATAAGATTGGTTAAAATAATTAATAAAACAAAATTTCATATCAAATCTATAATCATTTTATTTTTTCTCTCACAAACATCTCATTTAACTACAAAAAAAAATCTATCTATCTTCTCAAACACAAGTTTTAATCTATTAAAATAATCAAAAATTAAAATAACGTACTAAAATAGTAATTTTCCAAACACGTGATCTTCCTTGCTGAATGAGCAAATGCAACCCACGTTTTTTTTCATAAAATCTGGTGGGCTTTGCTATGGCCCACGGTTCTTGATTAAGATCTGGTGGACTGTTTTTTATTGGGACATTGGGTTGTAAAGTTGTGTCCTTCTTGTGGGTTTCTAGGGCCCACGGGTTGGAATTTTGCTGTGAATTCGTGATGAGCGACGGCTTGGTGAGTGACCATAGATGTCACTCTTATGAGATACTTTAATACTCTATGTTTTATATGTGACAAAGACTGTGGGCTTATGGGGGCGGTTATCATATTTTGACTGTCTTGATGATTGTTATAGGCTTTTTATTTTTTTATTTTTTTTGTCTTAGCATGTGTATTAGTTAGATTCTTATATGTCTTTGTCGTTTTATTTTAGAGAAAAGTTAGGGATCATGAAAATTTTTTTCATGAAAATGATCATGAAAGATTTATAATCTTTGGATTACCTTGATTAGTGTGTGGTGTTTTATTCTAAGTGTAATCCAAAAGTCACAAAACTTTCATGATTATTTTCATAAAAGGTTTTTCATGATATCTAATATTGTTGTTTATTTTATATACTTGCTTATATATCTTGTCTAAGTTTCCATCTATTATTTTTTATAGTAAGGGTGATTTGGGAATAATAATAATAAAAAATATATGGCAATTTGGGTAATAGTTGTGACTTTCTGTTTGATTCTCTTGCAATTTGGGTATATATGGCAATTTAGATTTATTGCATTACTTGAAGTATATATATCCCTTATAAAAGTGTACATTCTTTGCATTTATTTTAAACTTATCCACCCAAAAAAAAAACCAGTTAGTGCATTAAAAAAAATATAATTATTTTTAAATGTAAAAGCCACTTTACTTTCTTTCTTGCGGTTTTTATCTTGGAACATTTATCTCTTATAGTTCAAATATAGATGGAGAACACTCTAGTTTTGAATTAAGTGCAAAACAAACTTTGTTAGTAATAGTGACAAAATTACCTAAATACCCTTATACAATATTATTTTTTCTCTATTCTGTAATACATATAATTTTCTATCTTAATAACATATTTAACAAATTAAATCATAAATTAATTTAAGCACTCTAACTTATTACCATAAAATTATTTTAATTTAATTTTTAAATTTTAACCCAATTTTTTACTTAATTACATTTTAAATTAAACATATATATATGTTTATTTAATAAATTAAATTATAAATGCCCTAATTCATTACCAAAGAATTACTTTAACCTAATTCTAAAATTTTACTAAAATTTCTTATTTAATAATGTTTTAAACTAATAAATTGTTGATAGAAAATGACAGTTAAGCTTAAGGTTAGGATTTTGTTAGGACTATGATTTAATTTGGAGAAGAAGATGAATATGAGGGTACTTTTGACATTTAATCTTGTTTTGTACTTTGACTTGGAATTTTTGGACTGTCCACTCTCAATTTGGGAGAGTGTGGCACACTTTGTTATTTTTAATAGAAAAATTAACGTAGCATTTTAATATAAATTATAAAAAAAAGTTTTATATGTATATTTGAATCATAAAGGAATAAAATAATCCAAAACAAAATAATACGGAGATAAAGTGAATTTTACCTTATTTTTTATATAACATGTATCCTAATAATACTTTTAAACGAGGGCAAATTACGCCCATGATAAAATAATGTCACCAATGGTGGACCTACCTTGTTGGATGGGGATACATGATACTCCAACTTATGAGTTAACCATACATTACTTTTTTAAACTAGGCCACCACTGGCTACATTACTTTACCTTGTCTTTTATATGACATGTATCCTAATAATACTTTTTAAACTAGGGCAAATTACAACGGTGTTTCCTACGTTTTACTCTTTATGTCATTTTAATTTTTATAATTTTAATTGATTCAATTTTGACATTTAATTTTATATTTTGTTTCAATTTGGTCTAATTAATAATATTGTTAGTGTTTTTTTTTTTTAAAAAAATTATCACTAAATTTGTTGAGATTAACTGAGTTGAATAGTTTATAATTTTTCCCTTAAAAATATGGCATGTGATGACACTTATATACATATTTGTTATTTAAAAAAAATTATAAGAATTGTAATCAATTGGAGCAAATTGAGATAAAATCATAAATTTATGATCAAAATTAAGCCAATTGAAAATATAAAAACTAAAATAATACAATGAATAAAATATAGGGACTACCATCATAATTTGCCTTTTAAACTAGGGAAAATTACAAATACACCCCCTAAGGTTTACTTAAAATACAGATTGCTCCCTGTGATTTGAAAAATTACAAATACCCCCTTATTAGAATTTTTTATTTAACAAAATTAACTAAAAAAATAAAATTCATAATTACTCTCCTATATAATAATAAAATATATTTTTAATATCATTAAAAACTGTTAATTGACTTGATAATTTATTAATAAAATGGGCGATTTGTTATAAAATTAGATATCCCAATGGGTGAAATGTAATTTTCAAAATCACAAAGAGCGATCCATATTTTAATCAAATCTCAGGAGGTATTTTTATAATTTACCCTTTAAACTATTAGTAATAGACTTGTGCTATGTACGTGAGATATTAATTTTAGGGGGATTATTTGCACTCCACTTAAATATTCTTACACTTCAAATGATATAAACAAACAAGTCTCTCTATTTAAAACTCTCTGTACATATATTTGGGTGGGATTATCCCCTTTTTTTTTTTTCTTTTTTTTCCAAATTTCGCGCACCTCGACTAATCTCGGGGCTCTGAAGTTATCGGCTGGGCAAACCTCCAGTGGCTCTAAGCTGTGACTCGAACTCGAGACTTGTGAATTTTATTCTCCAGACTTTACCTCTCAACCACTTGCCTTGGGATTGGGATTATCCTTATGTTAGTTTACCCCTGACTATTAGTTTTAACAATTATTGTCTAAAACTATGATATTTATGATGGAATCTCACACCTATTGGTATCTATTAACATTTTTTAATGTATTTTGTGCTATTTTAATGTGATTTACTTAATCTTTGATTGTATCTTGAAGTAATCAAAATGTCTAGCACACTGAAAATGTTCACATACTCAATTATAGATGCGAGACAACGAGGTGGGGCTATCATTTTGTCTTGTATTTATGATTCAATCTGTGAAATTTTAGTGTATTTCTGGCACAATTAAGAAGTAATAATATGCTGTGTTAAAAATATAATATAATTAAAGTTGTCATTCTTTCTAATTAAACTTTTAAATAAGTTCACAATTAACATTTCGATATAATATAGAGTAGACATGTTATGTCTTCGATCATTTACTATCCGATACTAACAAAAAATACTTGCATGTGTACGTGTTTGCCCAGCTTATGAAATAGAATCAGACCACACCCGAGAGAGCGTGTTGGAGATATAATTTAAATACTAAATTTATTCATAGCTCTCTAACAAGTTAAACTAATACACGTGGGGTATAATTTTTAGATGAGCCGGTAGTAATGATATACACACATAGATTTTTTTATTAGTTTTTTTCTTTTTAAATATATATTTTTTTAATTTATTATTAGAGATAAACATAGTAAAAAGTTGTGTGAGTCTAATTCAAAAGTTATTTTCATTTTTCAAATAAAATAATATGATAATCTATTAGAATATTTAAGTCAATTCTCAGTCTCGTTTTATTTTATTTTATTTTTTTTTTTTGTTCCCTTATAAACAACTAATCATCTCTTTCACATATGACTAAATTTTAAAACTGAATCTAAGGGTTCGTTTGGCAAGAAGAGTTTGGGACTTTTTTGGCTATTTTAACCACAAAAGACAAAATAGGTTATTTTAATCACAAAAAACAAAACATCACATTCAATCCATAATCATTACACTCTTCTCTCACAAAAAAAGTCAAAAAAGTCAAAAAGCCAAAAAATCCTTCTCAAACCAAACTTTTTAGCCCAAGTTAAAATAGCTAAAAAAATCAAAAAGCCAAAAAGCCAACTCACTCCGCAAACGGAGGCTAAGACGTGAACTTCAAAACCATTTTCCTACTCATTTTCTTGCCGTTATAGTTGAAAACCATGTCAATAGTTAACTTTGGCACGTGTAAGCAAATGTAAATTAATGAGAACATCGATATTAATGGCTTCCCCATGAAAACCCTAGAATCAAAGTCTCGAGCCCTATAAATACAGCCTTGTGGAATGTCCAAAAACCATCCACTCCATCCCCCCTCTCTCTCTCTCTCAAAAGAGAAATGACAGAAAGAAAAGAAAACATAGTGATGTTCCCATTTATGGCACAAGGCCATATCATCCCTTTCTTAGCATTAGCACTTGAGTTAGAAAAGAAAAATGGATACACCATAACCTTTGTGAACACTCGACTCAACATCAAGAAACTCCGATCTTCGATCCCTCCATACTCATCCATTCGCCTTCTTGAAATCCCATTCAACAGCTCCGGCCACGGCCTCCCTCCGGACTCCGAAAACACCGACTCTCTCCCTCTCCCTCTCCTCATCCACCTCATCGTAATCTCTCCCGCTCTCGAGCCTGCCTTCCGAGACCTCATCTCTGGCCTTGTCCTCGAACATGGCCGCCCACCACTTTGCATTATTTCTGACATGTTCTTCGGATGGTCTGCCAAAGTTGCTCATGAATTCGGTGCATTTCATGCTATATTCAATGCTGGTGGAGGCTATGGCATGGCTGCTTTTCACTCTTTATGGCTACACCTTCTTTACAAGAAAGTGAATTCCGAGGAGTTTCCTTTGCCGGGCTTCCGCAAAGGTCACCGGATTCACACCAAACAGTTACCAGAACATTTTCAAGTAGCGGTGCCCGGTGATTCGTGGTGCTCATTTTTAAAAGATATGTTTCGAGATTGGTTGGAGAGTGATGGGATTTTGTTCAACACCACGGAGGAGATTGACCATGTTGGGATGGAGTATTTTAGGCAGCAAATTGGCTGCTCCGTATGGCCAGTTGGGCCTATTCTGTCTTCCTTGGGAAGCAAAGCTCGTGCTGGTGATGACGCTGAAGCCACAATGCATCTTTGCATGAAATGGCTTGATTCGAAGCCTGCAAATTCAGTTCTTTATGTGGCGTTTGGGTCACAAAGTGCACCATCACCATAAAAAACAATCCAGTTGGCCATGGCTTTGGAAGCTTGTGGCAAAAATTTCATTTGGGTGGTTAGGCCACCATCGAACTCAGTCACAGATCATGACCATAATGATGGAGAATGGTTGCCGAGAGGCTTTGAGAGGCGTATTCAAGATAGCAACAAAGGGCTACTAGTGCAACAATGGGTACCTCAGTTGGAAATTCTGTCCCATAAATCTCTGTGTGTGTTTTTAACCCACTGTGGATGGAACTCAGTGCTCGAAGCTCTCAGCAATGGAGTCCCAATGCTTTCGTGGCCGATGGGGGCAGAGCAAAACTTCAATGCCAAGATGTTGGAGGAAGAGATGGGACTCTGTGTTGGGGTGGCAAGTGGGAGCAGAGAGGTTAATCATAAAGACATATTGAAAAAGATTGATTTGGTGATGTGTGGGTCAACTAAAGGGCAAGACATGAAAAACAAAGCTTGTGACGTTATGGAGATGCTTAACAATGCCAAGAATGATGAGAAATGGTTCAAGGGGTCTTCAACCAAAGCCATGGAGGATTTTCTGTATGCTGCATTGTCAAAGTCTTGTAATTATTAAACTAGCCTTGCAGATCAGAGTCAAATGATCTAAGGGGGAGGCTGTGTGATACCCCTGTTCTGTATTATGTTAAATTGGTCCTTAATTTGTTTATGGTTATGTGTTTAGCATGATTTTGTGTGCCATTATGCGAACATATATGATTTTGAAGTTTTATCTGTTCATCGTAGGAATATCTGTTTGAATAATCCGCTTCAGGAATTAAATTGAGGGCCTTATCGGCCATAGAACCCGAAATTAATTACGCCATTGTGACTGGCATAATTTTTAGAGCCTACGGTGAAATTTAATTGAAAATTGATTCTGGTCAATTTAAACTGATTAAATTGATAAATTAAGTACCCTATTATTTTATATTAAAATATTTGTTAGTGGGGCTTGTTGTATATTTGCATTGCACTCTCCTTTAGCTCTCTTAAAACTCAAAATCTGAGTTAGACAATTGAGAGTGAGAGAGAGGCCGGCTATAGAGAGAGAAAGAAAGAGACTTGAGCAATTTTTGGCTCTAACTTGGGAATTTGAAGATTTAACTCAAGAATTGACTAGAATTTGGAAGATTAAAGCTCCTAGGTGAGTAACCAATCCCTAACTCATGAATTTGAGTTGTGATTTCGTGAATTGAAGATTAATTTGTGATTTAGAACATGAAAGAAGTTGGTTTTGATGAATTTGAAGACTATATATGCATACATGTATGTATTGTTTTGAATTTGCATATTTGAGCTTGAATTACATGACTCATGTTGCAATTTTGGTTGAAATCCATGTATTTGACCATCTTTTCATCATATGAGATGAGAATGAAGGTTATATGTCACATGCATGTACAATCCATGGGAGTAGAAGCTTTGAATGCATGAAATGGTCACATTGGTAATGAGTAGGTGGAAAATGAGCCATACATGTAGATAAATTATGAAATTGAGCTTCAATATGTTGTAATTCTATGTTTGTACCATGTTAGTACATGATTATGTGAAGTTTGGACCGAAATCATGCATTTAGAGCCTTTGAATGTCGAGATGAAGCTCAAGAACTTAATCTGGAAAACCCAGATTTTCGATGACCGCTCGAGCGGGAGAAGTGCCGCTCGAGCGGAGAAATCGAGCTCCTAGCATTTTCTACAGACATGGTTCCCGCTCGAGCGGGGAAGTTGAAGCTTGAGCGGGGAGCTATGTAGACAGGCAGTCCGCTCGAACGGCCGAGTTCACGCTCGAGCTGGAATTGAAGGCAGCCAGTACTTTCGCAGACCTAAGGGTCCGCTCGAGCGGGGAAGTCCACGCTCGAGCGAGGACCCTATTTTCTGAAATCCTGTTTTTGCATTTTTTGTTCTGTTTTCCGTTCTCTTTCACTTGCAAACACTCTTAGGCATATGTTAAGCATTGTAAATGAGTTAATGAGATAATAATAAAGCCTAAAGAGGAATATGTGAATTAAAGAACGGATTGAACTGTTAATGACCCTTTTGTGTTCATGAAATGTGTAGGGTCAAGCTCCAGGGCAAATCCACAAGCCGATCACTGTGAGTAATATCAATATTTGAAAGCTTGCCAATGTCCAATTGTTATTCCCTTATAAACTTTACAAGTTGTCAATTGGGATTGTGGACAAAAGTCTGACAGGAATGAATGAATGGACCGAAGGTCGTTTTGATGTAAATGAATGGATCAAAGGTCGTTTTGATGTAAATGAATGGACCAAAGGTCGTTTTGATGTAAATGAGCGGACCGAGGGTCGTTTTGACCTATATGAATGGACCGAAGGTCGTTCTGTCATGAATGAGTGGGCCGAAGGCCGTTTTGACGTAAATGAATGGGCTAAAGGCCATTTTGACATAAATGAATGGGCCGAAGGCCGTTTTGACATAAATGAATGGACCGAAGGCCGTTTGAAAAGAATGGAAACCTGAATGGGCCAAAGGCCAATATGTTGGAACTACAGTCACTTAATCTAAATTTGGTATGAGTATATATATATGTTAAGTAGAAATGTGAATTGGGCCCAAGGCCGTTTGGAACATGTTGTTCTACATTGTTATGTAATTTCTGCATTTGATATTATTCACTGGGCTATCGCTCACGCTCATTCATGTGTTTGTAGGTGAGCCAAGAGAAGCACAAACCCAGCCCCAGTGAAGTCTACTAGGGACAACATGAGTTTTGGGAGAGTCAGCCTTGTGCCTCACGCATGAGACCATCCTTGCCCTTTTATTATGTACTCATGTTTTGTCTTGTTGGCAAGGGCCTAGTGTATGTCTGTACATAGTCTGTTAGAGGTTGACTCGTTTTGGATGATCCTGTCTGTAATGAATTTTGTGAAACTGTATTTTTGATGTGGGTTATTAACGTATCTGAGTATGGTTTGTTTGATGTGCATATAAGCACGGCTCTATGGACAAAGTTTTTAAATTTTTGCTTCCGTTTGGCCCCTTTACTCTGACAAGTTATGTTTGTTTTGGTCTGAGACCGTAGGTAATCTCAAGATTACTGGCCGGTTATGTCCTTAACCCACGGGGGCGGGTTAGGGTCGTAAACAAAATCTCAAATTAATCTCAGCCTTTAAATCATTGCTAGACAAGATACATGTTCCATTTTGTAGACACCCCATTTTTGACCGTCCTTAAGACTTGGACGTCACCATTGGAAGACTTGGTGATTACCCTTGTTTGTGTTCGTCTTGAGTTCCTGGAGGTCTCGGTTGCGCGTCTTGCCTCTGGATCTCTCGACTCGACCGTGTTGTGTCTGGTTTTTCACCAAACACTTGTGTTTTGCCTTGGAGGGGCAGGGAATGGCTTGTGAGGCATCCCCACACATCACCGGCCATGGCTTGAGGCCACCGGCCAGTGATTTTATGCCATCGGCAATGTATATTGCCGGTCGGCACTCTTTGTTGCCGGTCGGCTATTTATTTTTCCAAAATGGCAATTTTGAATGGCCGATCACTGTTCATCTACTTTTAGTAGATATTTTGTCCCGGCTGTGATAGCTGGCACCCACTCTATTCCCCTCCATACACGTGTATGGGGGGATTTCCCTCTTGGATGGCTTGTTTTGGAAGCCTTACAATAGGGAGTTGCCTATAAGAAGAGGCTTCCTCTCTTGGCATTAGGGTTACAAAATTTTCAGAGGGAGCTCTGGATTAGGGTTAGGATTGATACATATTTCCTATCTCTATATCTCTCTCTTGTGTGTGTCTAGTGTGTGTTTGTCCATAATATTGCACACAAACACATAGTGTTACACCTTCTCTTGGTTGTTGAGGGACCAGAGGTTTGTTCTTGGTGACTGGATTTGAGCTTAAGGAGGCAACAAGATCATCATTTGTGAAGGAGGACTTCAAGGGTAAGAAACTAGTCCCTTTTTACCCCATTTTTGCACACTACTTTTACCTATCTTGCAACTGTTTTTTAGCTTTGCATATAATACATAAAAGTTCTGTTTTTAAGGCCTCTAAATAGTTTGTTAAGAGTGTTTTAAGCTTTGGGGTTGTTTGACCCCTCTTAAGCCTTGTTTGGCCCTTGTTTTGTGCTATTTTGTGTGAGCTCTGGGACTTTGGTGTTTGGGCCTCCTCACCACTGAAATCTTGAGGGATTTCAGTGGTAAGGATGGTGCCTTGAGGTCCCAAGAAGGAGAGGGCCACCCCCTCTCCTTGTTGTCCTTGAAAAGGACCATTTTTGCCTCTTGAGGGAGCACCTAGCTTAGGCTCTTGTTGACCATGCCTTAGCTGTTATTTATGCTTATTTTGCCATGAAATAGCATTGTTTTAAGTTGGTTTTGGTACACCATGCTTGCTTAGCATACATGCCTTGTAATGACATTTTGTTGCCTTAACATGCCTTAGGTTGTAAACCATTGTTCTAGCATGTTTTAGGCTTGGCTTTGTGAAGCTTTCATGTCTATTTTGCCATGATTAAGGTCTACCATTCTATGTTAGACGTGGCTTGTATGCGTACATGCTTCCTTAGTTGTTTGGGTTGACTTTGGCATGCATTGTATAGCCCCTTTGCATTTTTGGCTTGTTGGCCTTAAGGGTGTGAGTGTATAGCATGCATTACTTGCTTTGATTTAGTGATTTGGGACTATTTTCCATGTCATTTCAGTCCACTTAGTATGCTTGTATGCTTGTATTTCATGGTCCCTTTGATGTGTCAAAGGCTTGTGTTGCATGCTCCATGTTTTGGTCATTGTGCATGCTTTTGAATTCAAGTCATTTAGATGCCATCTAAGTAATCTTTGGGCTTTGTCGTATGTGCTAAAACTCTGTTTTGGGTCATTCAATTCATGCCATGTTTGGTCTTGTTAAGTGTGGTTCAATACCCCTTTAGCTTGCTTTGAATCTTGGACTTTGCTTGCATACCTTGATTGCATTGTTTGGGTTGGTTTGGCACCATGTTATTGCATGATTTTCAAAGCTTAATTTACATGCTAATTGCCCATGTTATGCCTCTTTCAAGTGTGCTTGAGAGTTGCCCTTTTGTGCTTAAGTATTAACCCTTTAACGTGTGCATGTGTGTGCGTGTGTTGGCCTCCATGTTTGAGCACTTTGGCCACTGATTTAGGCTTGTTTGAGAATTGCCTAATCATGTTTAAGTCCATCTCTTTGCTTGTTTGCATGCTCACCTCGCATGGTTTCTTGCATACTTGCATGTACACATTGCATTGCCATGTTGCATCCTTAGCTCGCATGCCTAGGTTGCATTGCATTGTGCATGCATTGCCTCACCTCTTGAAGTGAGTCATGATAGAGGTAGAAGCCCCTTGGTTTGACTATGTGCATTGCATTACATTTGAAATGAAAAATGCACAACTTGGTCTCTTGGGCTATCACGCATTGAAATGCGCGCTTGATGGTCCGAGAACCAAGGACCATGTCCCTTTGAGTCATAAACATGATAAGGGATATGGTCGGTGCATACATTGCTTGAAATGCATTGCCATGTTGTGCCTTGCCCCCTGCTGCTGTCAATTGCAGGTTCTGCAGACATTCTTGGCCGACCGGCA